GTTCTTTTTCTATTTTTAAACCAAAACTACTTCTTCTCTTTTCGTACATTGATGCTTGCCTAAATTAAACCACAGACCTTCAACAGTTACTTCACTGCTCAACTATTAAAGATCATAATATATTGTCTCAGTCAGTCTGAGTGCTTTACTTTTTTACTATTTGTTTTTCTACAATTTTGGATTTGTCCCGGTCAGCTTTGACACCGGCTACATGTTTAAATTTGGCAAATAAACACACACACACACACACACTTATATAAGCAGTAAGATTTTAAAACTTATATCCTCAGTCTGATGTACTATTAATTTTCCCATATGGTTCACTATTTTTAGTATGCATTCTGAAACCTTCATCCTCCAGACTAAATGACTTTTTAAAAGAATACGCTTTTTGTGTCCGTGTAAGAATCATGTCACAAAGCTATCGAGATACAATCTTGATTGATCACTTAATCACAAACTTTAATCTCGAAGGTGACATGCATCAACTGTATTTGCATGCTTAAAATGTTTTCACTAAATGAAACGTTTCTAGAGACATATTTTGCTACTAACTTCGGTAACTGCAGCATTCTGAACATGGCATTCAGTTTAGCAGAGATGAGCAAGTCCAAATCCGGACTGATAGACTTTTTCACATCGACTGGGACTAATTCGTATTTAGCTTCTAGTGGACTGGGACAGAAAAAATACTGGGCTTGTCCATCTCTGCTTTCGTATAAAAAAAGAAAACAAAAAAGTTCTGTCTTGTTCTTGCTTTTTAAAAGCAAAAAAAAGCAAAAAATATTTGTTGTTGTCTTTTTTTGTTACTAACCACATAAAGACACAGTTACTCTCTGATAAAACGAAGAAAAAGAATGGAAGTGGAAAACAATATATGCTGTGGCCGACATTGGAGTTAAAGCTTAGCGAACTGGGACCGGACAGGGATCAAAACATTTTAGCTGGATAGCGGACTGAAACTGAAAAAATACCGGACTTGCCCATCTCTGCAGTTTAGAGGTAAAATGCTCGTCTACCCCGCGGGCGATCCTGGTTTTCAGCTAGTGCACCGGCCGGTTGTTACTGTTATATTCCTAAATATAATCTGTAGAAAAATAAAATGTTAGCAAAAATCCAGAAAATAACATATTCGACACTTATCAATATGATATTTTATGAAAAAATTGTATTTCTGCCATGGTAGGAAAGCACTTTAATTAATTGGTAAGATTCATGATTTTTTATTATTTCGTTAATATTCCTAAAATGTGTAAGAGGGACAGAGGCATATTTATTTACTCATTTGTCTCTCCACTAAGTCGTCTTCATTTATCTCAAAAGAATGATGGCGTAACATTTTAGCATATGTAGTTATGCTATTTATTTCTGGCCGATAATGTATTTCTGTCAGAAATTTTGCGTAGTGAGTCCGTGGGAGTTGATCAGAACTTTTAGGCCTTTATGCACACCGACTGCTATATTGCTGATCAAATATATTACTGATATTAACGCTTTGGGTCAACATCAAAATACACTATTACATATTTTCAGACGGTGCACATGAACGGATGAGGAGAAATTATGTAACGAGAACAATTCAAGTGTTCTGTTATATGAATTCGTGTATCAAGGTAAAAAAGAAGCATTCCGTAACTTTACTTCAACTGTACTTTCTACATAACATATATTCTCTTGGATGTATCTTAACGATTGTTTCATAAATACTTCTATTACTGATATATATTTTATAAAATGAACTAGCTATGAATACGAAAAAAATAAAAGTTCAAAAAGTCATTTACAAAATCAAATAAGACTATTTATGCTTAAAAAAACATTGAAAATTGAAGACAGGCATATTAAAAAGTATGAAAAGTAATTAAAGTAATATATACAAAAATTCAAGTACGTGTTCTGCTGTGATCGCATTAGTATTGCTTCATTTAATATTTTAGCAACTCAAATAATAGTAATGAAAATAAGGTTAGAACTGATAACATTTTGCTGACGTAATGCCTCTTCCCGTCATTCCAATAGGGATATCCCGAATAACCAGCTGAATTTGTTCCCGAACTAGGGTGCCAGCCGCCGTTTTGAGGATTATTATAATTTGTTCCATATTGAGTATTGTAACCATATTGATTGGATGGCTTATTGTAGTATTGATTTTGGTAGCCGTATTGTCCATATTGAAGAAACTGACCGGTATTCGGATATTGTTGATACTGCGCTTGTCCAGCATATGGATAATTAACACCTTGTGCGCCATAATATGGTCGATTATTCATGGCTTGTTGATAAGGATTTGATTGATATGGGTAGCTTCCTCCTAAATACATCCTCCTATTATATCTTTACTGGTAATTATTAGCTCTATTATTAATACCGTATGCTTGTCTGGGATTATTAATGCCACCTCCTGCGCCCATTCTAGTGCCACTGCCGGCTGATGGTGGATTGACAGCAGAGGCATGTGGTACATGAACAACAATTTGGCGTCGTCGTCGATATTTACCAGCATTCACTGAAATAGAAATGTATCTGGATGATGTAAGTAGAACATACATAACTCTGACCTATATGAAAAATCTAGATACAGTTCGCCGGTCATCGGGCGATGCACAGGAAGATGTGTTTACAGTTAAAGTCTCTTTTCCAACTGGTACTAGAAATAGAAATAGATTTTATACAGGATAAATCATAGGCAGATTTTCAGAATAATGGAAAGTTATGACATCCATTAATCGTCCGATCATCTATCGTTATATCGAATTGCATCTAAACTTTGCAAGCTTAGTTTGGTCCTAACTAACCGTCACATTTGGATCCTCTAAGGCACAAAACATTGCCCCCAAAGGCTTTTCTTTTAATATGTAATTTGACTTTAATCTGACAATAAAAGTGAGAGAGGTTAATATCTGTTGGTTGCCTTCGAGTCTTATCGACAAGATAACGTTTGCCATATATAAAGAAAGCATTCACGCTTGGACGGTCAGATGGTGCATATCCGTAGATACTAGTTGCTGATATTAGTTCGCTGCCAGAAGCAACCTAGCATCCTTTGAATGAGGTAGTATAGCATGGGAGCTCATCCTCTGTGCGTCAAACAAGACGAACTAATCGTTGCTACATCCTGAAAACTGCTAATAAAAAGCCACCTTATTCCAAAGAAATTCACAATTATGATAAAGTCGATCTTTAGGTTATTTCGCATGTTTACTCTGAGATCTCTGCAGCTGCACATCCAGCATGTTTAACTGAGCCTACACTAAGTAAAAGAACCTTACATTTGATGCACGTCTTCGTTCTTGAATACACCCTTTTTGTCCTTCGAAACTGTTAATGAGAAAGACAGTTCAACTTTTTGACCAAAACAAGTGACAAGATTTATTCCTGCTTTACATACAACATTAGTAGTCTAAGTATTCATAGTGAAAAACGAAATCAAAAGTCTAAATTGCATTAGAGCCGTAGCATATCTTCTTCTTTTTAATCTCGTATACCGAAATCTGTATGCGGACATAAGGACACATCAGAAGGAAAGGATGTCAGAAGGGGAAGATGACAAGCCATTCTCTTTGCTTCTCTTTCCATTCATTTGATAAAAATTTTCCTCTTTTCTTCCTGCGCATTCTTCTCCTTAGACCGGATATGTCTGCATCTTGTCCTGTATAAAGAAGACACACTGAACGCTAAGGCTCCATTGGTCATGTGCAGCAGATAAAAACGAGAAATACAACAGAAACTCTTGAGCTCGGGCATTTCTCATTTTCCCCTTACCAGGAAATATATCCACGTTCGAATACTGTGCTACAGTTTTCTCAATGAAATCTTTATTGCTTAATATTTGATGTTCAGCACAAGACTGCACGTTTTTTGAGAACTTTAACGTCTCTTTAGAGCCTGGTATTATCCGTTGAGATCTCTTTTTATGGTCTTTCTCTTCTCGGTTCTTCTATTCAGTTACAATCAAAGTAATTCATCTTCCCTTACGTTTTACTTTAGCGACAGATCGTATATAGTATCTGACTATATTACCTGATGAATGAATGATGCATAATACAATCAGTATTTTATAATCGTGCAAGAACATTTTACACATATGCAAAAATATGAATTACGTGTGACTATTGTTGGATGTTCTTCTTCTCACTTATACCCGAACTTTTTTTCCTTCTTTCAACACATCATACAGACAGACGTTAAGAAATGTTGGAAACATTACTAGAAAAAGTTCACGTCACAAACTATTTTTCTCTTTTTTCAGCGTTTTTCTTTAGAAAAAAAGAGAAAAAAGAAAAAAAACATTAATTGAAGAAATGAAAAAAAGAACTGAACGGATACGCTTTTTCATATTTCTCAAAACTAAAAACACGAAATTAAAAAAAAGTGAAATAAATGAACAACCTGGACATTTAAAAACCTTCATTCTAGTTCACTTTTCAATCTATCAAACTTCAAATTACCACGCTACAAAGAAACGGATTTTGTAGAGTTAAATTTTTTCTAAGGTGCCGGCAATTCCCAATTATTATCCTTAAACAGAACATAAAGAATAGATGATGTTTTCTCCTATTTTCTCATCTTCACAAAACGCAAATGAAAAAAAGAAAGAAGAAAAACGCTGAAAAAGAAAAATAGTTTGTGACGTGAACTTTTTCTAGTAATGTTTCCAACATTTCTTAACGTCTGTCTGTATGATGTGTTGAAAGAAGGAAAAAAAAGTTCGGGTATAAGTGAGAAGAAGAACATCCAACAATAGTCACACGTAATTCATATTTTTGCATATGTGTAAAATGTTCTTGCACGATTATAAAATACTGATTGTATTATGCATCATTCATTCATCAGGTAATATAGTCAGATACTATATACGATCTGTCGCTAAAGTAAAACGTAAGGGAAGATGAATTACTTTGATTGTAACTGAATAGAAGAACCGAGAAGAGAAAGACCATAAAAAGAGATCTCAACGGATAATACCAGGCTCTAAAGAGACGTTAAAGTTCTCAAAAAACGTGCAGTCTTGTGCTGAACATCAAATATTAAGCAATAAAGATTTCATTGAGAAAACTGTAGCACAGTATTCGAACGTGGATATATTTCCTTCTCTAGATTCTTTGCTTAAGGTTTTAAAACTAATTATGAATCACTTCTTAATGCATTTGTTCGCGAGCTTCCCAGCATAAAAGAAATTGAGTATCATCCGGTTTATATATGTTACTAGATTTTTCTCGATTTCAACTATTTGGCAGTGACAGTGGAAATCTGCTAGTCGGACGGTTGCTACTGGATAATTAGCTTTCTTGTTGGTTGCAACTGTTCTAATATCGTAGAGAGATGATATCGATTAATCGCTCGATGTTTATTAAATATGCAATTGCAGAAGAGACTATCTCAGTAGCTGAACATACGCATACCGGTAAGGGGGAAATGAGAAATGCCCGAGCTCAAGAGTTTCTGTTGTATTTCTTGTTTTTATCTGCTGCACATGACCAACTATAGTTGAACATACGCATACCCAGTGAGCGAAACGAGAAAATGTCTGTTTTATTCCTCGTTTTGATCTGCGGCACCTGACTAGGCGTGCGCCAATACAATATATTGGGTCCCGATAATATTGATTACCTAATCTATTGGGACCAATAATATTGGTCATGCAATATATTGGGTTTTCAGAATATTATTGGGTATTGGGTCACTTGAGTTCGGCCTACTTTAACAGTACAGACACATGCTTTATATCCCGTTTTGAATCAAACTATATCCCAATTAGGCTTGCACCGATTAATAATCAATATTAGGGCATTTAGCAAAGTCGTTCCAAATCAGTTATAAAAGAGCTCTTAGAGCTGCCGAACGCCTCATTTTGTAGGAAAATGTTTGCTCTAGCAAACTGAAGTGCTACAAAAATTTTAATGTTATATATAGAGAAAATACAATAAATCGAAAACGCACTATAATAGTAGAAAAATAATCGACAGCCGCTTTTTTGCAATTTGCTCAGTTTTGAATGCTTATGTTTCTGTCGCAAATAACACTAAAATGTCGTTTTGCACTTCACTTTGGTATAGCAAACATTTTTCTACAAAATGAGACATTCGGCAGCTCTAAGTGCTTTTTTATAACTGATTCGGAATGACTTTGAAGGATGCCCTAACATCGATTGTTAATCGGGGCATGCCTAATCCCGATCGGGATATGCTTCCTCACGTTCTTATGAAGGTATATTATTGTACAATATTATTAAATGATCAATATTATTGGTGCCAATAGATTGGGTATACAATAATACTGGGTCCCAATATTATTGAATAGTCAATAATATTGTACAATATCTTCAATAATGATTGGTCTTGATGCATGCCTAGGTCACCTGGCTAATGCAATTTAGAATTTTGATTTCGTTTTTTTTACCTCGAATACATAGACACGTGTCTATCCAAATATTCACGCAAAAAAAGAAAAGTTCAAGTTGTCTATGGTCGCAGCCATTGTATCTTTCTTTAACATAGTGTTTTTCACATCGAAAATATACAAAAAAGTTTCAGCTTTAAATATTTCAGTTGAGGATAAGTAGACAACAATTTGTAAGTAAGCTAGAGACGGAGTGTAATGCCGCAGAAATAAATCGTTTCGCATTTTTTGGTCACAAAGTTCAACTGTCTTTCTCATTTATGGTGATAATTCTGTGAATCATTGACTTTTTTTTGTCAGGAGTCGAGTGAATCTCGGATGAATGTTACATGGTGTTCATACTCAATTTTACATGAAAAAACAGAATAAAAGAGGTTTGAAAGATAAAAAGAACGATAAATTTAAAAATTTGCCTGTTTTTTAAAAACTTCGCGTTTTTTAAACAAATATCCATACTTGAATATGTTTACATTTTTTCTCATAAAAATCGTTTGGAAAACGTAAAATTGACGCTTTCTTATGCAACTCGATGGGCCCTGCTGAACCATGTATACAAAAAACAAAGTTTGGTCGATTTTTGAATTGTCAGCAGACTATCACAACAGAATCAATAAATTTAGCAAAAATGTATGATCCCGATAATGACCGTGAACCAAGCATTTTTAATTCATTGCGTGAGCTTACCGCATTCTAGGCATTAATCGTGTGTTTTTATACCTTCTCGAATCCGCACTGGATTAAGCGTTTTCGTGTCAAACTTACCTTGAGATCTGCCGCATTTCAGTCTCTCAAAAGACAATAAAATTTGGATATGCCGCATGTGGGAATGTCTCTTGTTTAGATTTCTGAGATACGCCATTTGTTCGGTATACGTCTCGAAAGTTAGACAAACCTCAAAAATAAACTTTGTATTATATTCGCGAGATAATTAATCTGATGTACAGACAATGTTGTTGCATTTCATATTCTCCTGTGTGAAGTATCCAAACAAAAGAGCAGTTACACCAATATCAAAGTCTGCGAACAGAATCTTTTACATCGCGAAAGACAGGTTGCATATTGTGCGTATCGATTACGGAGACAAAATACATCTGAACACCATTCTGTCTCTCTAATGGGATCACTTGCTTGTACGTGTTCATAATAACCCGTTTATCACTTCAAAATCGCCATCTGAATATACATGGCGAACTATAAAAGTTTTTCTATATCATTATTTAACTATATTACACTAATTATCTGTGCAGTTATGATAACTGTGAGATAATGATGATAAAGTATGCGACAAAAGTTTAAACCTTTTTGTGTTTCACCACTTTCCCTTTATCCGTAAGCTTTTAAATAGATTCAAAGTATGTTATAAGTAGCCGATATGTAAGGCTACAATATTAGTACAATATGATTGTGGTCTACCAAAGTATTTCTTTTTGCCAATATCGAAATAGAATTTTCAAAATTTTTTCTCGTCTTCATGTTTAATACCACACAGTGTAATATAAGATGAACATTGTACATAACAACGGTAAAAGTATTTACTAACGATCAGCTGTTCCATATGTTGGTTAGCTATGAGATGGTGAACTATCGGAGGAATGCGACAGAGGATATATAGTCCTATATTTCAAGTACTTGCTTCATGTTTTCCTTTCACTCGATATAAAATTCAACAAAACATGGTCCAAAAATCTTAGGTAAACTATACTATTCAAAAAAGTGAGTTATCAAAAAACAGAAGCTGATTGATAGAATATACTTCAATATTAGCGTTAGATTTAGCTTTTAAAACTGTAAAATGGCTTCTGAAAGCTATATTTTCCATATACTTACGTAAAAGGTTATCAAAATGATGCTGATGAGATTAACATTACTCACTGGTTCACGTAAGACGGTTACTAAGATCTCACAATACCTAAACTGAAGACCTTATGCTTACGTTAGTTAAATCAACATTTAGCCAGAATACTTCTAAACTTCTCAACATTTTTAGCTACATAATATTACTGCGTTGTTCTTTTAAGGGCAGAATGAGATCTTTTTGTAAAAAAGAAATTTCTGAACATGTAGATTTGTAGAACAGACTTTTTTGATCAAAATAAGACGCTGCGCAACTTTGTATGATCCTGCGTTCAAAAATTACAAGCATTTTCCTACAAAATCTGGTCCCATTAGCTCTCGCAGTTAGGTGTCTACTTTTCCCGATAATGTCTCCCTAGCCCAGTCATGGGCTTTGTTTTCTAATTTTCAAACATCTCGAGAAATATTTGGTTTTCATAAAAACTGTCAACAAATTCGTCTGTTAGCTGATAAATATAAACATGTATTTTTTTACTTTTTCGAATTCAGGAAATCTTATCGCACATCATTTAATTATTATAAAACTCGTGCTAACGAACTGTTACTTGCCCTTCGTCTTTTTCTCCGTTATCCTGATGCATTTATTATCTAAATCTGTAGAAAAACTATGTGATACAACTGCAAATCCGCACAGATTTTATTTTTCAAATAGTGAATTTTTTTTTGTTTTGTTTTTTTCACATGTCCTTAACTGATCGTAACGGAATTTTCTCCAGTCAGCACTGACACTGGATTTTTTTTGTTTTCGCTAATAAACAACAACAGTTAGGTATCTGGTTTAAAAGAAAACCAACGCGAGATCTCTAGCTTAAAGTATATTTAAGAAAAGTGCCCTACAGTGGAGGGTGCGTTTTTGGCCTTGGACTCTAGAAAATCCGGAAACGGTAAGAGATAGCGAGGAAAAAACAATTTGATAACTGTACTTTGATATATAACAAATATTTGCTGAACGCGTCATCAAAATCGGATGTAAGACAAAAAGGGTTTTTTCCGAGAGATGAGTCTTAAATAAATTCGCAGCATTCTTAACGTAAATGTTCGTTTTGAAGAAAAGAGACAAACTTCTTTACTTTCTAGCTTCTTTCTAGCGACAAGCTTGTCAAAGGACCGTTAAACCACTTTTTTTTCTCATTTTTTCTTTCGACTTTTATTTTTGTAAAACACGATAATGGTACTTTGTTTCTTTGTATCCATCTAAAATAAAGTCGTGAAGAAATACAGAATGTCTTATTTTCTAGAGTTGAATGTGCTTCTCAAGCGGACATCTAACAAGAATTTCTCATTATCCTGCCAGCTACATTAATTTATTAACTAAAGAGGCAGCATACGTTTTAATGCCACATGATCACGATGAGCTTAAAATGCCGTTAGTTTTTTTCCTCTGAAGAAAAAATGTTGTTTCCAGGAATAAGAACAACACATTCTGAGTTGTTGTAGCATGGATTAATTAAATATGGGTCTCTATTAATTCTATTGATCAGCAGATCATCTTTGACAAATCAATCACAGGAACTAGAAATTAAAACTCAAGTCTATTCTTAAACTTTTTTTCCTGTCGTTTTTGCTCATGCTCTTTACCTCAATTACCGTTTCCTTAATGAGGTAATGAAGTACAGAACTGCTATAAACATGATTAACTAATCATAATGTATTTATTTCATTGATATTTCGACTGAATCCACTGTCATCATAAATGAGTGTGTCAAATTTGAAACTATACATAGTCAATAGTTTCAAATTTGACACACTCATTTACCCTTTTTTCATTCTGATGATGACAGTGGATTCTGTCGAAATATCAATGAAATAAATACATTATGATTAGTTAATCATGTTTATAGCAGTTCTGTACTTCATTACCTCATTATTTAAATCATTAACTGCTCTTTCTCCTGACTTTACCGTTTCCTTCTTTAAATTTACATCTTACCTTATACATAGGTGATGTTAATCTTATTATCGATTTCGAAATCCTTCACCATTTAAACTGATTCAATTGTAAATTTACATGTTTCTAACTCATTAACAGTCATATTAGCCAGCTTTTTTAGAAAGGAAATATGGTCTTTCTCTGCGAACGTCGCGGATTTTATGAGGATTCTACGTTTAATAACCAGTTAAAGATTGTAACCTGTTATGCTGCCACCATCAATATATTTCATGTATAACACTTTCTTGAATTCACTCCACCTTACCAAATGAAACCAACAAAGAAAATACAAAACCCGAAACACTCCTCGTAAATCCTAAGAACCAAATATTCTAGTAGAAAACCCTTTGTACTTTGGATGTATTGGAATATCCATAACTTCCTGTTGGCACTCTCACGAGTGACAGTAGCCATTCTGTGAAATGACAGGCAGCTACCTTCTCATTTTTTTACAAAACTAGGACGTATCTTCTAATTACTTTACCTACTCTACTAAGTTAGAATATACGAACATGTCAATAAAAATATAAAATTTGTTCAATTTTGTTCTTTCAAGCAAAATAATGTATTACACACATAACTACGAGCACGTAAGAAAATTATATCGAAAAAAATCAGAAAATTAACGTCATTCATCCCTTTTTTTCTTTTACCTGTTCATACAACTGTTATTTACTTTTTATTTGTTTAACTGATGAGAAATCGACTGTCTTCACTAAATAAATAACATTATAACAAAAACAGTCTGTGAACATTACGAAGAATGTTAATTGTTTTTCACAATAGAACCAAAATCTACAGTAGCACTCTAACCATGTGTAACTCCTTCAGTCCAAAATGTCATGTTTAAAGGAAATAACATACAGAGGAGTTATCTCGACAAAAGGACAAAAGACAGCTAATTTCTTAAGAGATCTGAATATAACTGGTGTATACTGTGCATACTCGTCAATAATTTCATCGCCTACAAGAAAAGACATATGACTTGTATGTTAATGAAACTACTTTGAAAAAAGTCATATAACAATAAAACATGAATATTAATAACTTAATAATCGAATAGACGAATTCATTCAGCATCAAGAGGTGAAATAAAAAGTGAATAGAGGTGATTGTGAATGGAATACAAAGGCAGTGATTCGTTAAGTATTTTGCAAAAACAATGGGTAGTTCAGGAAAGTAGGAAAGTCGGGAATGATCATATATTCACCAAAGCAAAAGTTACTCAAACCACTGTGCCATACATTACAATCAATCCATTCGTCTCGCCCACTGTAGTATCAGACAACTGGCCAAAAAGTTCGTTCACTCTGTGGTCTCCGAAAAGGGAAAATCACAGGTATGCTACCATCTCTTTTATTTTATTTGCCTTGAATATAGATTTTTGTGAAGATGTCGCGTACCAGTTACAAAGAAGTGCATCTTTTCTTTGATCTGTTCGTTTTTGCTTGTAGTGGTATTACATGTACAGTAATTCTGCCCATCTTTCTGACATCGAGAAGTAAGTGGTTCTTAACTACAGAAGTGAAACTGATCATGAAAATATGTTATCATGTAGGTGTGAGCGATTCAACAACAAATTCGAGTATGTGCTGAGTTATGTGAAAAAATCGTGGACTGCCTCGTCCTATGTATATTTTAGGCTGTTCTTCTACTTTACTTGACTTTGAGAATGTGGCAAACACGACATTCAGTGTGCCGGTTCCACAAGGTTATGGTAACTTTAACTGGAGTAGTATAAACCTCCTCAACGCTTCATACGCTGGAAATTATAGTGGCTTCTATACAGCATTAACTAGTGGGCAATATGTTATTTACGGTACTGCGGGCACAATGTACAGTTTATCGAATACATTTACACTCAACTCATTTGTGAGTGCTGCTGGATGGTCGGATAATTTGTGTTTTAATATAGCGGGCTTTCGTGCTAGTATTCGCAGGTACTTTCAGGGATTTTTACTTCAGGGCACAGTAGCTACTATTATCACACTAAATTGGACCGATATTGATATGCTCACGCTTAGTTCATGTTGTGGAATAGCACATACGGGATTTCAGGTCTTTAATCAATATTTTGCTATTGACAATATGTGCGTTACATTTTAGACATTACATGACAAATTGCAAACTCAGCGTGCTGGGTGATTTCGTTGAATGTAATAAAAGAACTTCTGAAAAGATTTCAATAGAAACAAAACTCTTCTTTGAGTCGAACAGCTGAAGGAGTCAGAGTGATGACCCATAAACGATTCTGCAAGGTGAATACATTTTCCTAAGTCAAGAATCGAGTCGTCTAACGTATTTTCCTTTTATGCTGACATTCGATTTTTAACAAAACTATCTTCATGTACAACTCAGCGAGTCTAAAATAAGACCACAATGTCTGCAGTCAACGCAGATGAAATCAGCCATTACGTACGTTCGGCTCCATAGTAGCGCAGACAACTGTAAAACGCAAAAATATTCAGAGATGTCAGAATATCAGTACGCAGTGTATTCTCAAAAAGACACTATATGGTGGGTTTGCTGGGCTTGGTGTATTCTCACTGACAATACACAAGAATATACCAGAATACGCAAATATTGACAATACATAATATATTTTCATCTTTATTGTGAATGAGAATACACCAAGCCCAGTAAGCCTAGCACATTTTATAGAAATTTATATATTTGTGTATTCTAGTATATTCTCGTGTGTTGTCAGTGAGAATACACTTCCTGGGCTTGGTGTATTCTCAGTGGGAATGCACGAGAATGCACCGTGCCCAGCAAGTTTCAGAGAAACAGTGTCTTTTTGAGAATACACTGCGTAGTGATATTCTGACACCCCTCAAAATATTTCACTTTTCGATACAACGAAATTCTGTGTTTCTTTTGTTATTCCTATTATTATCCGCTTATAATAAGAATCCGAGCCCATGATTTATTTTCATTCAGATTATAACAATACAACGAATAAGTTAAGACTGACAAATGAATCTTTTAGACTTAATGGGTGAGGCGACTAGAAACACCTCATTGCATTTAACTTCCATTAATTTTATTCATACGAGAGTTTATTGAAAACCAAAACCCAGTTTCGCTAAAATGCTACGGATAAAACTGAATCGCTTGGAAGGGTGTGATCCAGAGCTATAGAAAATTTATCTTACCACCCTGCTCTGCAGAAAATACCGTAAAATGGTCAGATCAGCTGATAACGTCAGTTTTATTCCGAATAAAAACAAAAACTGCAGTAGCGCATTAACCATGTGTACACAGGAGAAGTTAGACAACTTCTTCAGTCCAGGATCTAAAGTTTAAAGGAAATAACACGTCAAATACTACCAGTACCCAAAAACATATGTGGATTTAGTCTTCGCACATGTGCGAAATCATACCTGCAAAACTTCTTCTACTGTCCTCAACTGATGTTCAATTTTCCAGACCAAACGCTCACAGTAGATAGCAGCAATACAGTTAGGAAGATCAGCAAAAGTTTTTTGACTAGACAATACTTCCTTCTGGACTTATAGCATTTTACGTAAAAGCCCTAAAAACTGCTAAAAACACCATGTACAGAAAACTGCATTTTGCAGCCCTCATATTTCGGTCTATGCAACAGAGCTAGAGCTCGGTCTTGCAGCATAAGTAGTATACGTCAAATACTACCGGTACCCAAAAACATATGTGGATTTGGTCTTCGCACATGTGCGAAATCATACCTGCAAAATTGGAAAATATTAATAATGGCCGTACTTTTTGGCTAAATTCTTTTATGAAAAGTTAAAGTATTTGGCTAAACACGGGTTCTACTGTACAGAACACATGTTGCTCTACTCAAATTTATAGTTTTGATCT